GTTGAACTCTTGAGTACTTGAATAGTTTATACATACTTATCTGTGATTGACATTTTAGTAATTGATATTTATTGTATAATGTTATCGTTACACTTGTACCTTCCTGAAGTTTTAAGTGCCTGATATTTTATTTTTAGACACTTGGCCTTTGTCGACCTTTTGAGTACTTGAGATTATTGTTTGATTGGCGTTTGTATTTGTACATTGGTATTGTAATTCATTTCGTGTCTTGTTGAAGCAGTGTTTCAATGGAATTGTCTCTAGAAATTTAATATTCGAATAGAATTTGTCAAACCTTTACCGTTTCTGAGATATGAACAAATATTTCTGGAATTTGTCTATGTTCAAAGAATTACGGCTTATACCAAATTACAAAGAAAACACTCATCCAATATGACAACGATTTGAATAACCTTTGCTCCTTCGTTGGGATCATGTGGTAGTATGATGCTGACATTGCCAGAACCTTTGATCATGCGTCATAAAAGAAATGTTTTCACAACTGGCCCCAAAATTTACCAGGTTTATCGAAAACTTGATTTGTTAAATCATCTACAACACCAAACGTCTGCCCCTGAGTACTATCTTTCAGCTTGTTTCGTTTCCGAAAAAATGATTTTTTTTAGAAAAAAAGTAATGACGACAAAAAAAGGCAACACTAGTATAACGCTATTCAATAGTCATAAATAGATTAAGCGAAAATACATCTGGGTTAAAACTAAAACCGAGGGAAACACTTCAACTATAAGAGGAAAATAACGGAACAACAGACTCAAAAACAAACACCAACAAACATAGAAACGGATTATTTAAAAACTGCCATATTCCTGACTTGGTACAGGACATTTTAGGGAAAAGTGGTGGGTTGAACCTGGTTTTATGGCTAGCCAAAGCTCCAGCTCATATGGCAATGTTAAAAATACCGCTAAAATGACAACACTTCGTGACGGGAATACAGTACAAATAAACACAAGAACACTCAGGACAGAGAAGTAAATAAATAAATAATAGTACATTACAACATGTAAACCGCAGGAAAACAACGGACAATACACCCGACTACCGCTTTTGTAATTTTATTGTTTCTATATTTCAGACACAGTGAACAGTGTTTTTCTGTATACTGTTTGCACTGGATCACTGGCATTTGTTATGGTATTGATCTCGGCTACATTGTCATATTGTAGAAGAGAAAAATACAGAAGAAACAAGTCAAAAAAGGATATCCAAGGAACGTACAATATAGAAACAGACAGAACAACGATAATAATTGTATAAACAATTTGTTTTCGCAAGACAGATACTGCATACATAGATTGATTATGTAAATTGACATATCATGCTGATGCTTCTTTATCTCTATTTCCTTTCAATATACATTGTGGTTATTAAAGAAAATAATATATTGTCTAGAAAAATAAAATTAGCTTTTATTGGTACGTAAAGTTTACATACAATTTATGAGGCAATTGAGTAGTCATTTTTTGATTTCAGTGATATAAACAATACATGTTTTAAAGTCCGTGTAGCAATTCAGTTTATCATTCAAACAATTATATTTAAGAACCGAATGTTGTGGATTTCCTAAGTATAGATGAACCACAAATTGCATTGTTCAAATAAATATAATTGGGCGACCGCTTACATGTTTAACCCCACCCCATTATGTATGTGCCTGTCCCTGGTCAAGAGCCTGTAACTCAGTGGTTGTCGTTTGTTTATGTGTATCATATTTGTTTTTCGTTCATTATTTTGTACATAAATTAGCCGTTAGATTTCTCGTTTGAATTGTTTTACATTTGTCATTTCGAGGCCTGTTATAGCTGGCTATGGTTTTTCACATTGTTGAAGTCCGTACGGTGGTCACTTTCTGTGTCGTTTGGTCTCTTGTGGAGAGTTGTCTCATTGGCAATTATACCACATCTTCTCATTTTTATATAAAAATGCAATAGGCTTGTATACAGATTTTGGCAATACCACGAAAATAAAATATCATCAACAATGCATTTTTTAATCCGGTATTATTCGAAGGACAATATCAATTATCACTGAAATACAAAACAGTATATAAATTGTGTATTAAATGTTTATTATGCAAAGGAACGCGATATTTCAATCAAATAGTTTGTAAGAACATTCACCCTCAACTTTGTAATAGGTTTCGTATTATTAAGTCTTTAGTTTTCTATGCAGTAATTTGTTAAATTTTCGTCGTTATTTATTGCCATGGTGTTGTCATTATCTTAACTTTTGCGTTTTAAATGTCACGTTGTCCTCAGATGTAAAACAGATTTGTAGCAATGTATATATTTAGGTCGCGCCATACAAACATGTACATAGTCAACAGATCAAGATAACGTAATCTCCAAATATATAAAAACAATTCAAAAATAGCAATTGTAATTAAAAATATGTCCTTTATAGTGAAGCAGCATACAGAGAAAAAAAAATAAAATAAAACAAAACATTAAACATACACAGTTCCACATATTACTAGAATTAATGTGAAACATATTTTCGCATGAAATGCAGGAAAACAAAGGTAGTCATATAAAATATGTTTAAAATAAAATCAAGCGTAATAGTATGCATACAATACTCATAATTTATACGTTAACACCATGCGTTTTGTACCATTTGTAAACCAATGTTGACCTGAAACTTAGTGACGTGTAGAGGGAGAATATGAAATAGAAAGAATTGATCGCAGTTATCGAACAAAAAATGAATAGAGGTTTATCTTTTACTCGATGATAATTTCCTAATACGCGTACAGCCAGTTGATTCACAAACAATCGTCAAATTAGGTGTAAGACAAAATCGTTAAAGAACCTGTTAACAATAACAGACAAAAGACCAGGGTTTACTAATGGGTTCTGTACGCTTTCATCATAATGCTAGAACCAAGACATATGTATCGAGTTTTATCTATTGTGGTTGTTTTGCTTTAAACCGACAGCTTTACTTGTTCATGATCTTGATTCACCAACTGTGATCCAATTGTATTAGATGTCCAGTACTTGTCGTCAAGTCATTCAGATGCCACCTTATTTAGATGTTGCTTTGCATTCCAGTAACCATGTTGAAGTTATGTAATTCAGTCAATTCCTTCCCACGGAAAATAAGGACAAAACGTTACGTAAATGAATTGTTTACAGAGGTAGATGGATAATAAGTAGTACATAAGGAGTAAAACATCTTGTAGATGCTACTAACTACATTTTGCTCTGTGGTAACTACGTTTAAGTTTTTGTTTGTCATTCAATGGTACCGGTGTAAACAAAGACAATAATTCAATTGTTTTGGGCTGTGAATGCATTGCATATATACATGTCAGTCAATTTGTATGACGGGAGCTATTTGAACTTAACATCAATTAATGTGGATTTTATGTTTGCAAATAACAGCACAAATTGTATTAAGATTTAAGTGTGTGGTGTGCATTTCTAAACTCATACGAAAGTCGAGAGCTTGCAGCTGCTACTTACACTTTGTTAAACGCCGTCGTTCAAATAATGAAAATAATAAGCCAGAGTTTTTGTCAAAGAACGTCACCGTCCTTTTTCTCGAAAAATTCATGGAAAATTTTCAAGACCTATTCGATAAATAGTCAGTGTCTCCTTCGCAAAAATTACTAGAAGGCCTTGAGTTATGGATTCGAGGCACTGATGTCGTGTATCTTTTTATTTTACTTTAGTTTCCCCGTTATTTGTCTTCATGCTATTTAATTTCTTTTGCTTGTATGACTTTTGACGTTACTCGGTATTTAAACATCCCGTCATTGGGTTTTTGACTTTTTAACTTTGGGCATTCCTGGTGCTGGTGTGTTCTGATGTACGATTCGTACACAGAGGGTTTTTAAAGTGTTGTTTCTATTTTGTTTATCCTCGTATTTATATTTTCTTTATTTTCACTTCATCCAGAAAGTCAGTATACTATACACGGTATATGCTGACGTCATTGGCAAATTTGAAATTTACTATATACTACACTTTTTTTGTATGCGTCTTTGTAAGATTAATTTGGATGATTGAAATTTTTTTGGTAGGTTGTGTTATATGCCTGTGATGTGTGTTTACACACATTTGGCTGCTGGGTCCAAACAATTATTATGTTAACCTATTATGTCTATTTGGGTTACCTGGCCAATTTGGTCAATATAACTAAACTATAAACAACTCTCATACAACTGTGATGTTTAGCCAGCTTTACAACCAGGTTTAACACACCATTTCCTTTGGTAAATGCCTGTACCAAGTCAGGAATATGGCAGTTGTATTAACTTGTTCCATTGAATGATAGCCTTTAGTTTTGTCAGTTTTTTTTAATTTTCCTTGGTAGTTCGGTATTTTTTTATACTTTTTTTTTATGTGAAAGTTGATTTATGGAAAATATTCACCTGTATGAGGGAAATGAAACAATGCATACACCTTGTATTGACAATTATCTAAACTAAGTTATCATATTAGTTAAAATAATGGTAGGATGGTTGAAAAAAATATTATCTTTTTAAAGATCAAACAACAAGATCATATTAACCACAATTTAAATTCATTTTTTTCAAGAACATAGATAAACACGTGTTTCTTAATGGAATCACAAAAAAACAATCTTTATTTTCGCTTTATCAAGAATTATAAACAATGTTTTTTAAAAACAGCAAATTCCAACAGCATGATTGTTAGCAATTTGATTGTCTATCTTTTACTATTTCCTTTTTGATAAAAATACGTCAAAGAAATTTGTTTACATGAACAAAATCAGCTTATATATGCCTAGTGTTTGAATTCGTTTGCATAATGTTAACGAATTGACCAATGAGTAACTTAATGTCAGTAACTCCTATTTGATTTATTAATTATGCTATACCCTCATCATCGCCGCGATATAGCCTTTTTGTGCAAATGCGGCGTAAAACAAACATTAATTAATATACCCTCATCTTTTCTTTTCTTAAATAACTTAAGGGTTTTGGGATAGAATTTTCACAAGCAAAAACATTTAATAAAAAAATATATATTACATTTGTTCAATCAATCGCATAAGAGATATGTATCTAACTCGGGTAAATTATAATAATGAAACATGTTTTTTTGATCATTTAACATGTTTAGGTAGGAAGGATTATGGAAATTTGTATAATTTGACTATAATTTTCTGTTGATCATAATATCTTAACTTGAATATTTACAAAATAAACAGATCCAATTTATAATCTGATATTTTTTTATTGGTATAAAAAATGAAAGACAATATTAAAACAACGTGCATGTATAATTCACATTCATGCTTTAGGTTTCCCTAAATGCCCTCTCATGATAAATACTTGAATTAGTAAAGTACAAAACCATATATTTGTATAAACAAAAACACACATAAAACATTTATTTTTAATGTGGACCCTACACAAAATGAGGATAGGCATTATAAGTTTTTATAATATAAATCAATCAAAAAATGTTAACTCATTGAATATCAGCCAAATAACCTGAGAGGGAAAATGTGAATTACTGCAACTGGGTAGAGCATGAGAGTACAGTAAAGACCACAACATAAATATAATGAACATGAATCAATCAATATTTCATTTTGACAATTATTGAACTTTATGTCATAACAATAGACTAATAAGGCTATCATAATAGTATTTCATATGAAAATCGGACAGATACAAGTTCAATAATTTATAAACATGGTAATATATAGCCTATGAGATTCTGCAATAATGTGACACTAAATAACCAAAAAAATATATCAGTTACGATACCAAGACAATTTAACAATTTTATTGGCAAGAGTTTACATGAGATCACAAATTACCTTGTTTATAAATTCAATACAACTATTCTGAATAAGACAGAACATTTCAATACATCAAATGCCGTTACCCCTAACATACACACTAAATTATATCTTTCTACAAGTTAAACATATTGTACTGTGATCTATTGCTCATGAGTGATACATACTCTGCCGCTTTTTTGAGAATAAAGAGGTTAAAAACGATAAATGGAAATGCATCCCGCGGTAATAAATGCTCTATAAAGCTCGATACCAAATTGTAGGAATCTTTCAACAAATGTCAATGGCAAACGGGCATGCGGACGAATTGACAGAAGTTAAGTAGTATATCGCCTCCCTTGGGGCGAGGTTACATAAAGATAAATACAATGATTTTAGCTTAATGTTTACAAAAATATGTGTTATACTTAATGGTCATTACCAAACATTGACTCTCTTACATATTTATCCAGTGATTTGTATATATACGTGTCAAAATATTGCTAACCTGGTAGTAAGGGTTACGTGTTCGCTGTACGAAATGACAAATGCAGGAAATCAAAAGGAGAAAATAGAGGGTAAAGACGTTAAACGTATATAATTAAGTCAATTGTAAATAAAAGTGATTAAGTGCTTTTTTGAGTTTAGGTCAAAACAAATATTTTCAGTAAGAATAAAAAAAAAGGAATGCAGTATTTGTCATAATGCAACAGGATCCTAATTATAAAAAAATTGTACCAAGAGGTAAATAAGTAGTTTTTAACCATTGATAGTGTATATGTATATATTGTATGTCAACTCTATTAATGTAACAGTTATAAGTAACTTATAACTTATCAATTATAAATTACTTATACATTAATGTATAAGTAACTTATAACTTACATTTTGAACTACAAGTACGACTGAGGTGTCGCACAAGACAACTGAGTATAACCAGATAGATCAATCCTGCAAAAGACGTACTTGATTACATTATTAAAATTAAATACCGCCTGAAAATAAGAACAACATGATATTTAGAATGTTTCATTTATAGAACCATGACTACATTTATAAACTGACGCGAGTGTTTCTTTTGAGAAATCATATCCTCCTAGGCAATTTGAAAATCCTTCTCAAGAGAATACACGACTAGTATATGAAATGGGGTTTGAAAATACGCCAAGCTCGTGTCCATTTTGATAGATATTAACATAGATATTGCCATTGTAGGCAATCTCTTGTGATTCCTTGATTCAAATGCTGCATATTCATATAATCAAGCTGTTCATGTGTAAGATCATTAATTCAATATAATAGTATTTATAATATGCAAGTCATCACTTAAAATTATCCGGCTTTGGCTGTAATTTTTATCCTTCTTGGTTTAAAAGTTCTTTATCATTTGAATATTTTGGAATTTCAAATATTTTGGCTTCGAGCATGACTGAAGATACATTTATTGTCGAAGTGCGCATCTGGTGCAGAAAAATTGGTTCCGTTAATGTTATTTAAATCAGCTTTCAGGTAAGTCAATTATCGTTTACTAGCACGGTTGCTGGTGGAATGCTAAAGTATCATCAGTTCAGTAGTCCATGCCTAGGCATAAGACGATTTAAAAATATTTTCCGTTGATAAATTCAGAAAATAATAAAAAAAAAAAATCAAAGGTCTGAACTCCAGCAGGCAAAGTCGACCTTATATGAATTGACTATTTCTTGTTGGTTATATATAGCTCCCAAAGTGCGTCCGAAACGCTTTTACTGAATTTACCTTCGTTTAGTACACTGAAGCAAATAAAACGAAAGCTCATAATGTAAAAATACGTTATAAGTTAATTTATCCATATCTGTTTAGACTCGGGCCGATTTAAATCCTGACATATTGTAGAGACGCTTGTCTATTTCTGAAGACCTAAAGTTGTATTCTAAAAGTTTTTTTTTTTATTTTTTGTCGTGAAGTTAGTGTCTCTTTTGCTTATACTATACTCTTAGCTTTTTTTCTTATTCTCAAGTGACCATATTTAAATAAGTACCTATTGGAGTTCCAATAACAACCATCAATACGCTTGTTTTAATTACATCCAGTTCTATCTGTTGATGACAGGAATCTGGGAAAGTGCGTTATAGAGGTTATATTAAAAAAACAACAATGTAAGAGGTCCTTATTCAATACATTATAAAAAAAGGAAAGGAAATATAAAGACGTTTTGGAAAAGTCAACAGATTTATTCGATACGAGTTTCATTCTCTTCCTCTTTGTAATGTTTAAATCTTTTAGGGAAGGTCAGGATAACTATAACGTGCTATGCATTCCTCCCTCACTTTAATGAGTACCAATGCTCATCAAATGCGTATTGTTGATACTTGTTTTTGTATATTTAAACACATTCTACTACATATACCAGCATATAGGAAACATGTATTTAATTAAAAATTTGAAAGTCCAACTTTGTCCTCAAAACCTGCGCAAACTATAACCCAGCAGATGAAAACAAATCAAAGTTATGTTATTTCAATGCCAAGCACTTCTCACTATCCTTTTATACAAGGTTTATTCAATTGAATAGTTGATCTGTTAAAAATTTTGTTTTCCAAATTAATGAATTATCTTGTTTGTGTAACATGTGTTTTGAAGGAAAATATAACGTCAAATTCGTTTGAATTGAAAACAAACTTGATAACTAAATTGACTGAATTTCGTTAATTTGGATAACATCGTATTATTTTTTTTAAGATACATTGAACAGACTGGAGAATGTTTACATCTGTCAGTTAACCAAATAATTGTATATCAACATTTCTATACACCAAATTGTCTTGCTTTTGTTCTGCATATCGGACATCTGGTTTTACCTATTTTCAAAACTCTGTCATACATATCTATTCTCCATGTCTCGCATTTTATTTAGTTTTCAAGTTTGGGTCTGTAGCATTTTGATTGCAGTCGTTATTAATTCAGTCTTTGCCTTTTTGTATCTGAACATGTGATGCTTAAACGGATGTCAGTCTAATATTCTTATGTTTTGTATTTAGAAATAACACTTTATAAAGTATATGTGTCCAAAGCGCTTTTGTGAATTAACCTTCATTGGGAACGCTCAAAGTAAAATAAAATGAAAGTCTAGCTTATATAAGAAACGAAACATTTGAAAAAAATGTATGACCAATAAGTTACCTTCTTCATACGTTTTGGCGACTTTCTCCTCGTTGATTTTAGTTAACGTCTCTAAACTAAAGCAATATAACAAATCATATTATCTACGAAACTATGAATTGAGCTATATAATTGGAAACTTAAATCAACCTACTGATGTCAGTGGTTAGTATCTAAGTTACTCGTTACTCTTTCTTTTTCGTGTTATAAATCTTGAAGTGTCTGTCTACAGTTATTTATATACTTTATTAATCTATTTTTGTATTGAAACCTTAGGGTTGATTGCCTGATTTCGACCTGTAATCTTGATTGGATAATTCATGTTTTATTTCTACTAGATGTTACAACTCTGGCTTTTATAATGGCACTCGTGTACGTGTCTCTCATTCGTTCATTTAAAAACAATAGCCATATCCAGTTTACTAAGGCTCATATAGTGGGCTGATCATTCTGATGTTCGTTTTTTCGAAATTGTCGGTACACTAAAGCCTGTAAAACTGTAAGATACCTATGTGTTGAGTTTTTTTTTTTTTTTTTTTTTTTTTTTTTTTTGTGTTTTATGGCTTTAGTTTATCTTACAACATTTTATTTTCAAATATTTGTGTTAATTGTAAACCAATATTTTATCATTTGTGTATGGAGCGCACTAGATATAAAAAATGTAAAGTATATATCAATATTCCGACAACTGAAATTCGAATAGATGGCTATCATATTTCTAAACAACGTTTGTCTAATTCCTGATGACTGAAAACCAGTACTAACCATATGTTGATTAAAAAGTCGCTTTCGTCTTCACACATTATTTCGCTAGAAGATATATAAAATCAAATTTGATCACTTTACGTGTACTTTATTAAATGATATTTTGTTCTGTTTCGGGAAGCCTTGCATTTGGAGTTTTGAAATCAACGACATGTGGATCAATATCTTATCATTCGAGTGGATTAAAATCGCCATGAAAGGCCAATAACTCATATTCGGAGCCTATTGATGACTGATCATATTCGCTGTCACAGTTTCTCTGTTATTGTTTTTACAACAAACGTAAACATGGGTAAACAATCGTCATCCTAGAACAATAACTTCATTAAGCAGTAGACTGATAATTTCAGTCATATTGACTTATTTGTAGATCCTTTTTGTTGATTATTTTTATCTGTCTATTTTCTAAAATAAATGAAAAAAAACATATTCTGAACATTTCTGTATCTGACAGATTATCTTTACCAATAACTATTTTCAAACAACAGAAAATGCATGCATTTTTTTCCAATGTCTTTTCTCTGAAATTACAGTAAAGTTGGCCAGATCATTTCACACATTGTAAGATAAAAGATTCCGCCTGGAAGATTGTGGCCAAGAAGGTTCCAAATGGGTATGTGGTTCAAAGGAGAAGATTTATGTAAAAGTTTACGAACGACGGACGCCAACTGACGACAATAGGTCAGAATAGCCTTTATGGAAGGCAACTAATAAACGAGTTATCGTGGATAGGTAATAATCTAATATCAATTATAACATACTTACTTAGATTCGTCTATCAATGGACACCTAAACTTTCCTGTTATATTAGCCTGATTCATGCAAACATAGTCTATAATAAAACTAAATGTAACATCAAAATACACAACAAAAACGAGAACAACAACAGCAATACCAAAACAATAATTCGTTTTTATTTGCAGAAATCCCGTAAACGAAGAGTTCGACATGCACGTGCACGTTTTAAGTATATCAGTAGTTAATGCAGGGATTAACTCCGGGCACACAGGCGTCTACCACAACTAAAACTGATTTTTATGACTACCTGACTAATTAAAAAAAAAGTAACACTCTGATTAAAATACAGATTATGTGCCCAAGCTTCGCTTATAATGAACTGACAATGCTCCATACTACTGTCTGTTCTGATAATTATAACATCAGCTAATAGCATTTCAGCATTTAAAGCATTGATTGTATGTATTATAACGACAAAACCCGAGTATCCCGAAATGTTGTTTAAAGAGAAAGAAATATGGAGCGTTGTCAGATCCTTGTAAGCGAAGCGTGGACACCGGATAATTAATTTGAATCAGATTGTGAATTTGACGTTCAGAAAACAACCCTCGATTAGCACTTTAATCATGTTAATCGTACGTACGTATATATATTTTTTTAAGTTGCGTATGACACACAGTTACTGTAATTTATAGCAAATTTCGTTTATGATACATAAAATCTTTATTAAACTTAATTTTTAATATAAATATATATCAGTTTTAATTTAGAACATGACGGGAAGTATTTCGATTTATGTATAACTAAAAAACATGAAAGATTTAATACTGAACAGAAAACTGACACGTATGTTTTATTCTTATGCATTTTCAAATGCAAACATCGAATTTTAAAAAAAAAGAGAGACGGAAGATACCAGAGGGACATTCAAACTCATAAGTCGAAAATAAACTGACAACGCCATGGCTAAGAAAGAAAAAGACCAACAGACAAACAGACAAACAATAGTACACAACACACAACATAGAAAACTAAAGACTGAGCAACACGAACCCCACCAAAAGCTGGGGTGATCTCAGGTGCTCCGGAAGGTGAGCAGATCCTGCTCCACATGTGGCACCCGTCGTGTTGCTCATGTTAGTACAAACCCGATAATAAGTCTTATTCGGTAGGGCACGTTCGGGAAAAGGGGACAGGATTGTAGTTACGACATTAGGAACATATTCGCTATCATCTGTGAAACGGATATTCTATAACGGTCAACCAACTCGTGATGGCGTTCGTAAACCTTACGAAGGGATGATTTCAACTTCAACACTTGGAACTCATGGTTTTAAAGATTCCTTGTGAGTAGCACCCCTTTCTGAAGGAAATCATGATAGGAAAAACAAGCCCTGGAATATCGTATCAACTTGGAGATATATACGCTGTAGGCAGGCGCTGCTCGAATGTTGCTACATAGAAATGGAAAGTTAACAATTGGGAAGCTAAAATCATCTCTTTTGTCGTAAAGTTTTGTTTTCAACCGACCCTCATTGTCAATTTCTAGATTTAAATCAAGATATGAGGCAGACTTAACTGTATCTGTTGTATCCTTTATCATAAGTTCGATGGGACAGATGCGTTCAACATAGTCACCAAATTTTACATTACTTTTAGTGAGAGAACATCATCTATATAGCGGAAAGTAAAGTTAAAGGATACTGCTAACTTCTTTTCTTTCTTCCTAAGAAGTTCCTGTATGAAGTCAGCCTCATATGAATAAAGGAACAATTCGGCAAGAAGAGAGGCACAGTTTGTTCCCATGAGAATGCCGATTGTTTGTTGAAAAACACGTCCTCCAAATATAACAAATATGTTGTCAATCAAGAAATCAAGCATCTCGATAATGTCAGTTTCAGGGATTTTTTAGTTTGAATCAGAGTGATTTTTTACAAAGCAGGATTTATCCCTCCCTAAGACAAGATACTTGTATCTACGTTGGCCATTCTTTTATATGAAACAAAGCAGGACAAACTCTTTCAGATTGTTTTTTAGTGTGGAATAGGGAATACTTGTGTAAAGTGTAGAAAAGTCAAATGTTTTAATATTATAAGTAAATGTGTTTTCAGTAAAACATTCGCATACCAATATATGAAACAATTATGTAAAGTGTCATAAATTGCGTTCTGGGTGATTTTGGAGTCTCGGGATGATACCAAAGAGGACAAATATTGGTAAAGGGATGACAAAGCATGGTTAAAATAAGAATGGCAAAATACAAAATTACAAAAAATGTTAAAATGCAAATAACGATAAGGAAACGACTAATCAATTATGTTGAAAGGAATTGAAATATCTATACACGAACAGCACCAACCAAAATGACAAAAAATATGTAAAAATAATAAAAACAAACAATTACAAACAGAACCCCCCCCCCCCCCCCCCCCCCCACACACACACCCTCAAACACACACACACCTTGGGTTGTTTCAGCAATATGAAATTAAAAAAAAATGAGAATCATCCGATCAAAAACCTAAAAGATTCTTGCCTTTCATATGTATATGCAACATCCATTGCATTGATCATGCCTTTAAATCTGATTATGATTCAAATTCAGTAATGGTTTCAATAAACGAACACACTTGAAGCTCGTCCTTGTGAGATATACATTGCGTATCTGCTTGAGTATAACTTGCTAGAATTCTTAGAGGTCTTTCTAAGTAAGACATGTATGATGTGAAAATACTTTCCATTACTTTTAAAAAGAAAACAAATGATGTGATAAAGAACTTCAATGATGTTTTTCAAAAATCAAACAAGTATTTGGTCCAACAAAGTTCTTAATTTGAAAACATGAATCATCATAAAATTGTCAAATTAACCTACTTGCATGCTATTTGGGACATATAATTCGGCAGATGAAGCCAAGGATTTATATTTACATAATTAGGATATATCATCTTGTTTATATACATTTTCTCAGTTGTTTATTTGCTGAATTTTCTGTAGAAAAAAAAAAAAAAAAAAAAAAAAATTTGAAAGCAAATTTTGAATTAAAAAAAAAGAGGAAAGGAATGGCATTAAGGAAGAACTATAACTTATGCAATAAAACGTATCAGACCTAGCATTCTGACTTTAACCATATTTGGAAATATATTATATTATGTTTATTAAGAAAGTTGGGTTGTTATTGCAAAAAAGGTCGCCATATAGACTCTTGTTCAATCTAGGCCGCAAGATGCAAACCCTTTTATTCACAGGTAAGTCCATAATAAAATCAAATTAAGTTTGATCTTATTTTTCAACAATTGTATAACTCGAAATGTATGTTTTATTTAATTAATGTTTTTAAGTATGTTTCACATTAGGAATTGGTTTTGTATCATATATTGATCTTATTTAACATGTTTATCAAAAGATACGATTATCCTATAGACAAGTGTATGATATATAGCCGGCTTTAGATAGCTATAAATCTAGAAACACGTTCTCAAACTACACACAGCTCATATAACCCATCAAGTTTTAAGGGTTACATTACTGTTTATTTATGTGCAAATGAAGACAAAAAATGATTAATCTTTACCTGGTGTGAGTACTTGATCTTTACCGCACTCCTTATAATAACAAGAACAATCTTCTTCAGAAGGCACACAGAAACAAAATTTATTCGGATTTGATACGAAACTAAAGCCATATCTGTAATCACAGCGACAAGTTCTATCCGTTGTTGTTTGCCTATCAGTGCTTTCAATTTGACCCTCTTCATTGCAAGCAGATTTGAGAAAAACACACGTGTCTCCATTGGAAGAACTGTATTTGAACGGCTGATAATGGTTCTCGTCACAAGGTACACCATCAAAACTTCCTCTAAAAACAGTCTTGAAACCTTAAAAATGTTATTCAATCATTATATTTGTGTATATAGTTTTACATATACAGTATATAAAGTCAAAAAATATGTGTTATGAAGTTACTTACAGGAAGTATACGGTCATGCATAGGGTTAATATATTTATTTGTTTGCCGAGGCACTAGTTGAGTTTCCATCACAGTTTTACCCTTATTTCCAGTATATAACCTTTAAATCACTACATGCCGAATGTAGCGAAATGATTAATTTTTTGGGCCATTCCGATTTTTATTTTATTAATTTTCCTGATATTGTAATTCGGCAAGCTAGGTAATGTCATTGACAATATTCAACTTTTAAAATTACTGACCTTTTTATCTAATGTACATTTGCAAAGACAATCAATCAAAAAAATAAAACCCATGTGTAAATGGTTTTGGACTTTAAAGATGCATCCTCGAAAATTGCGGAAAGGTAGGATTAATCAAGTAAGCGTAAACTATAAAAAAGAAGATATGGTGTGATTGCCAATGAAAAAACTCTTCACAAGAGACCAAATGACACAGAAATTAACAACTATAGGTCACCGTACGGCCTTCAACAATGAGCAAATCCCATACCGCAGAGTCAGCTATAAAAGGCCCCGAAATGACAAATGTAAAACAATTTAAACGAGAAAACTAATGGCCTAATTTATGTACTAAAAAATAAACGAAAAACAAATATGTAACACAGCAACAAACGACAACCCCTGAATTGCAGGCTCCTGACTTGGGATAGGCACATACATACAGAATGTGGCGGGGTTAAACATGTAAGCGGGATCCCAACCCTCCCCCTAACCTGGAACAGTGGTGTAACAGTACAACATAAGAACGAATTATAAAAATCAGTTGAAAAAGGCTTAGCTCATCAGATGGATTCAAATAGAAATACATCTAACAAAAACACTCAGTAGACGTGGCCGGGTAAAGCATATATTTCCATCTTTATGTCGAAATAGTACTGTAAACAAAAACAGTAAAACAGTAAAAATGGGTAATAATTCAACCATGAAGAGGAAATAAAGGTACATCTTCATTATTCAGTTGTCTTTTAGTTTACTGTTTAGTCCTGAAAACTCGTTAAAGGGAGTTAACCATCTCGCTTGATAAAACGACTACTAAATTAATAGTGGTAAGTTTAATTAATTTCATTTAATTCATTGGCTGTTAATACTAGTAGTTTCAAAGCATGTACTTTTACATTACCTTCTTGTTGAATTTCATCAGTTGTTTTGCAGTATTCCGTATACGTTTGTTTATTTATATCAAGGAAGCACATATACTTTGATGAGTCTTTACAGATCTTCGCCCTAAAATTCGCCTGAGAAATGTGGGGACATACATTGTCAAAACTAGAACACTGCGTGAACAGTAAGTACAACACCTGAAATGAGACGTTAAATGCAATGAATTATTCTTTTTCACTTGTCAGTAGTGCTGTATGTGATCCGAAGTATGTCCATTACCTCTGACAAAACTGAGTTTAAAAGGATTTGGCTATTACGTTTAATATAACAGTACGGATATCAGGTTGGATTGTCAATAAGACAACCTTCCAATGGTGTAACAGTGCATACAAACACACTATACAGATCTGTTTGAAAGGTTTTGAATCGTCAGATCGACAGAGATACAAATCACAAATGATTTTTATCTAAGAGTACTCGCAGTTTCTGAAAGCTAGTTCAAAGCCAATTACAACTAATGAATAATTTTCAAGACTAAACCTTTTCTGATTCTACAAGATTTATACACTTCACTCCCTAACTTTCGTATTTCCATTAACATAGAAGTTTACTCAATATAATCGATAGTTTTGACTTTACTTTTTGAATAAATATAAATTTAGCATAGCATCTTATAATGAGGTATCTATACAAGCCTCACTTGTATTGTGACTTTGAGATGACAAACATCAATGGCAGTCTGTTTCTTTGCTTTGAAATATAATATGAAACATGACCTAGGATTTTGTGTCTCATAAATTCACATAATCAAGCCATAGATGCAATCGTTTAAAAGTATTTACTACCACGGCGTACCTACGAGACCAGTAGTTTCATTCATAGAGTAGACAAACGAGTCCCGAATCGAGACATCAGTGTGCCATGTCTTAAAAGTAGTACGGGTGCGATATCAAACTAAAGACTCAACCATGGACACTCTCCAACATTGTAGACAAGAATATAATTCATTACACAAATTTTAGTTTTTGCTCAAAACACAAAAGAGGGTAAATAAATCCTCATTTATAGGCAATCACTCCTATGAAGAGTGAAAGTCTACTAACTAAATCGGCAAAATTTGACCTGTTTGTGGATCTTGCCTTGCTGGTCATTTTTTTATTCAAAGTTTCTGTTTATCTTTTATAATTTTTATAATATAAGGCAAAACGCAAAAAATGGTAAATATCGTCATTAAAGGGCAATAACTCCAATAAGGAGTCGTCGGAAAATTTCCTCCAAATTGTCTTAAATGTAGATCTTGTCTTGCTAATTATTTTGCTTAGTTAAGTTTCTATCTATGATCTATTATAATGTTTAAGATATTAGGCAAAAACGCAAAAAATTGGTTAAAATCGTCATTAAATGGCAATAACTCTAATAAGGAGTCGTCGACTAATGATCTCGACCATCATCTTTATTCGTAGATCTTGCCTTGCTGATCATTTTTGCAACTTAAAGTTTCTCTCTATCTATTATACTTTCAAGATTATAGGTAAAATTGAAAAAAGGTAAATTTTGTCATTTATGTGCAATAACTCCTATAAGAAGTCGCCTGACAGGGTTGACGTCAATGAACAATTGGTGAGGCTCAACATTCGTTACATAATTGTTTTGTCAGATTTTCTCTTTTCGTAACGGTTTTCAAAATAATGGACATTTCCATTTTACCCCTATGCTCTATTATTAGCCATGTCGGCCATCTTGTTTGACAGGCTGGGTCATCGGACACAAAGTTTTAACTAGATATCCCAATGATGATTGTGGCCAACTTTGGTTAAATTTGGTCCTATATTTTCGGAGTAGAAAGTTTTTGTAAAAGTTAATGGACGACGACGACGAACGAAAGACGCAAAGTGATGAGAAAAGCTCATTTGGCCCTTTGGGCCAGGTGAGCTAAAAAAAAACCCGGTCGTGGTCTTAAATGAATGGCAAGTGTAGAGGATACCACTTTTCGAGTCCGTTCAAGAATCGTTTGTTTGTGTTCTAGAATACGCAAAATGTATAGGCGAATGTTGCCGTTTTACATTTTGACCTTACCTAGCTCTCCATATATTGTTTGTTACAGTCACAAACTATGCCATGCTCCTGTCACAACTTATATATCTCCTTTTTTGTTAATTTGATTTAATGTTCTTCCTTGTATGGCTTTCCTTTTATCATTGTTTTCATTTGAGTGCAAACTCTTTCAGTGATCCGTATGTGGCCTGTCGAAAGGTAAAATTACTTTCTATGTCCAATCTACCCTCTGTTTCCAATCGCTGTGCAAATTTCGAGACCTTCATCCCGGGCGATCCTTTGAATGGACATACCTATTGTATCTATTGTCAATTCACTGTCGTCCTGAACATGCATGAAATATTAGACACTAGACTTTAAGCAAACAACATATATGCTTATACATTTACTGCATTTGAACTCTGGCGGATAGTTGTCTCATTGACGATCATACCACATCTCCTTATGTTTATAACAAGAAATCAACAAGAGACCTCGCCAGTAGTTGTTGTATGTCATATTTTTTTTATTCGAAGAAATAATTGCCTATTTTATTCCTAATGGCCAATCTTGCAATGTTTCTGTTATATATATGTATACAGCATTTTCAGACTCAAGAAGATTTAAGGCTTGACAAACTGTATCGACACCTGTCTATTTCTGAAGATTGATTGTTGCTCTTAATACATTTATTTTTTTATATTTGTTTGTGCTGTATTTAGACCCCTCTAACAAGAAATTTATTTTGCATGCACACGTATAAAAAATTGCGGTTTTTATCCAACGCAATCATAGGTTTGAACGTTGTTTTCAATTTAGACCCCTCTAACAAGAAATTTGTTTTGCAAGCACACGTATAAAAATTGCGGTTTTTATCCAACGCAATCATAGGTTTGAACGTTGTTTTCAATTTAGACCCCTCTAACAAGAAATTTGTTTTGCAAGCACACGTATAAAAATTGCGGTTTTTAACCAACGCAATCATAGGTTTGAACGTTGTTTTCAATTTAGACTTGTATATATATACATATATATGTCATTACGATACGTTAAGATATCTATAAATAGTTAAGAGGATTTAATGAGGACATATATATACACACGTCACTGAGTCACAATAACATGTATAATTGACAACATGCTGTATATAAAAATTCAGTAAAACTGATATCATAATCTTGATATCATAGATCAGGTTTCCTTATACACAAAACAGCAATATAAAGTCATTACGATACAATCACGGCAATAGCAAGATCAGTATTTAAATGTTGATCAGTTTTACACATAACATACATGTATAATTAAAAAAAAATCTTAATTCATCAAGGTCGTAGAGTAACCGATTCATTGTTGTCTGATAAAAGTCAAGTTGCGAAAACATATTCCAAGTGTGTATTTTTCTAACATAACATCTCAAGTAACCTCACGCTTATAATGTAATGAAAACAGCACAGCCGGAAATAATTTACCACCTCGAGTTACTACTATGATGACCAACCTACTTGTAAAATAACAATTCAAACTAAATTCCTTTACAAAGCCCCACATTAAAGTTCTCGCTAGTTTTTATTATATATATCAAGCAATCTTTATTATAAATCTCAAGATGTATTCATTGACAAATTAAGATCAAACAAAAAATAGTGTAAGTATTGAAGTACTATATATTTATATTACATTTATATTATATTATAAAATTAATTACATAATCAAGTTTGCAATGTAAACGTGGTCCACCGTTTCTTCTCAATATTGATAACAATAATAC